TATTTAAAAAATGTACAAATGCAATAAAAATATCGGTATCGGTACTCGGTATCGGCAAGTACCAAAAATAAAAGTATCGGTATCAGGCGAGTACTAGAAAAAGTGGTATCGGTGCATCCTGAGTTCAAATCAATACTTTGGAATTCTCAATACATGCTCCTGGTCTTATTGCATGTTATTAGAAAATTCTTATAATCTTTCTTCAATAAATGTCATAACTTGTAAAGCCTCTGAATACGTGCTAATTTACCGTTAGTTAATTTACCGATAAGGGTTCATTGCCCATTACGATATCTAGAGTGCAGAGTGGACAGTAGCCAGTATTAATTATATTTACTGTATATTAGGGGTGTAACGGTACACATATTTTCGGTATTGTTACTTTTGAAATGAAACAAAATCTCACCTTTCAAATTACGTCCATTTTTTTCAGGAAATTTAAACAATAAATTGACGCTCTTTCCTGTGGCGTGACAGATCGCTGTATTACGCCTCAAACGGCAGCGCAGAGCGCGATCATCCCTTCCTCTTTACTACTGGTTTTAACATGAAATAAACATGAATGAACATCTCATGCCGTATGTCACAATCAGTGTTTCAACCGCGGAAAGACGTCAAAACAAAATGTCACGTAGCATTTCATTGACCTCAGGCAAGTCATCAGTGTCCACAGCTTGTTAGTTTACTAGAGCAATTAAGTCTAGAGAAGAGCATTTTGAGAAATATTAGACTCTATTCTCATTATATTTTACTTTACCTGTTAGCAGTGTCTTAATTATTAATTTGTGTTTAAATAAATCTGTTATGAAACAAGTTATGACAGCCACTGTGTAATTGAATATATTTCAACAGCAAATAGAAATTTTATAATTTAGAATTTCATTTAAAAATTGCATTATGTGAAATTTATGTTTGTATACAATTTGAGTGTTGATTATTATATTTAAAAATAAATAGTAATTAAATTTAAGTTTGGGCTCTGTTGTTAATTGTACACTTACAGTAATGTAAAAGGGCTCCTATAGTTTAGAGCATAAGCTGAGGTAGATTTTTTTCCCTAGGAAAATTTAAATTATAATTGAATTTATTTCAAGAAAGAGCAATTTGTTCAGTAAACCACTGTTTAATAAAAAAAGCAATTTTATGTTTAGTTTTTTCCCCCTGCTGTACTGAAATCATACCGAACTGTGACGTCAAAACCGAGGTACGTACCGAACCGTCATGTTTGTTTACCGTTACACCCCTACTGTATATAATAAATAATAATAGAATAGAATAATTCAAGAAATTGAAAACAGAAATTGATATCTACTGACAAAGTCATTCATTTTTAAAACAGACACACAGGGCATTTAAAGGATTACCCTGTTTTTTGATATTTGATTCATTTATGATTACTGGATAAGAATTTTTGAAATAGTTTTGATTCAGACTGATGAATCATTGATGAATCATTCAGACCAATATGTGAATATGTTCGACTGATTCATTGAAAAGAACCAATTCAAGTGAACAATTTGCTCATGAATCAATATGATATATAACTATTATAGAGTCTAGAGTATAACTATAATGCATATTTATGATAGAAATGTTTGACATGTTCATTACTTTTACCTGGTTTTATAGAATTTTTTTTTTCCATGCCACGGTAAAGTCACTGTGACACACGGCTTATAAAAGACACACACACACACACACACTTTTTCACACAAAAACTTTTAGTGTTTAGTTATATGGTTCATTAGCTTAACTGTTGGGTGTTTACGGTTGGTGTGCAAGTTGCTGCATTAATATACACGTTCAGAAGTTTGCAGTAACATTCTTTAATATTTATGTGTTTGAAAGATGTCTCTGATGCTCACCAAGTCTGCAATTATTTAATCCAAAATACCGTAAAAACATTACAATTTAGAGATATTATGACACTTTTGAATAACTGTTGTCTTTAATGATATATTTTAAAGCTGCAGTCTGTAACTTTTTTTGGTTAAAAATGATCCGTGATACGAAATTTAGGGTTGGGTCGATAGACGATGCCATGGTCCATCGCCAATGGCTGACAGACATCACGATGTTAAGCTGACATCGTGATTCCTCCCCCACCACCCCCTCTCCCGCAATCCGCCGCATCCCAGTTCCGTGTTCGGAAAGGAAATGAAGTGTAGGCTA